TAGCAACGGAATCGAGAAACCGGCGGGTTTACTTCCGGCTGCTGTGTATATAAGCTCTGTCTGTCCATTAAGATTCATCGTCTCTCTAACCCTCTCTCACCATGAACGGTTACGAGTTTGATAACGTGGCGCGGATACGCCGACCTGCCCCAAGAAACTAAACCTCCTAGTTCTCCAGAAGTTCTTTGAAACTAATGGGATCGTGGGGGTCACCAAGGTGGAACGTCTAAAGCTCCATGGTGACATCAAGATCACCTTCGCCGAGAAGGGCATGCCCGTACAGCTCGCGGAGATCCCAGACATCAATGGCATTCCATTTAAAATGATTGCCTACATGTGGGACAACCTGAAGCTGGGAGTAATCTCCCACGCCGAAATTGCCCACATGGACCAAGCAGAGCTGAGTGAGCTCCTCAAGGGGCAACTCCAAGCTGTGAAGAAGCTGTCCGACACCACTGCCCTCATCGGACACCACTCCACCTTACCCAAGGAGGCTCAACTGGCGTGGGGTAACTGTGCCAGTCAAGCCCTACTGCAGACCGAAACGGTGTTACAAATGCCAGCACTACGGACACACTATAAACAAGTGTGAGGCGCAGGAGGACACCTGCTCCATGTGTAGCAGCCCCGGACACCGCTACACGGTCTGCCCCAACAAAGTAAAAAAATGCGCTGCTTGTGGTGGCCCACACTCCTCCGCCGATCGGACCTGCCCGAAATGGAAGGAGGAATGCAGGATAGCCAAGGCTCGTCTCGACAAGAAACTGAGCTACAAAGAGGCCCTCCTTGCTGTACGCTCCCAAGAAAAGAAAAAACCAGCAGAAAAGAAAAACCAAGAAAAGAAAACTCAAGAGAAGACGCCCCCCACACAGAACCAAGAACACCACGTGGCTCGTGGAGCTGAAGCCCACGTGGTCAACCTCACCGTCTCCGACTTCTTCCACACCTATGAGGACTTAAAACACGAGGAAGACGAACAACAAGACCCAAACACAAATGAATGGACACTTCAAGAGAGCAAGAAGAGGAGGAGAGTGAGAAGAAAATCGACATCAAACTAAGAAGACCAAGACATCTCCTCCACACAAGAAACCAACACACACAATCAAGCCGACCAAGCACTGAATATCCATTGCCCAACCCAACACGCACCTGACGCTTGACCTGACGCTAGCCTGGCTCTGTCTTGTCGCCTCCCGGCCGCGTCCGGGCGAGTTGCTGCTGCCTCCATCTTATACTCCCTCACGCAAGCAGTGTTTAGCCACTGCATCTATTCTCTCCTCCTAAAATTCACTTCAATCCTCCCTTTATTCTTCCCCTGAACCTCCTTCCCCCCTGTCACTAACATTTTTCGATTCGAAGATTCATTCTGGCCTCGGTATCTGAACACGCAACACCTCCTCCGCCTGCCTGGCGGTCCTCGCTCCCGCCGGCGAGCATGGCGACCCACCAGCTGTCCTTCTCTGAGCGTCCTCACCAACCAGCTCCCTTATTCTGCTCTCGGTTCCTGAACACGCAACACCTCCTCCAAGCAAGCTCCTCGCTGTCCCGCTCTCATTCAACCAGGAGGCCAGCAACAGGCAACATCTTCTCTAACGAAGCTCCTGCACATCTACCTCCTTCAACACGCTACTCACTGAACGTGTCTACTGAGCAGCTCCTCACCACACGGCATCTCCAGCACCAGACTGTCTACCATATAACTTACATTATATAAGAAAACCACCACCTTAGAGTTTCCATCTATCCTGAGTGCTCGACAACATAATATCACGAAACCCTACAATACTACGGCTATATATGTGGCCCACCTTGATACTACGGCTATATATGTGGCCCACCTTGATACTACGGCTATATATGTGGCCCACCTTGATACTACGGCTATATATGTGGCCCACCTTGATACTACGGCTATATATGTGGCCCACCTTGATACTACGGCTATATATGTGGCCCACCTTGATACTACGGCTATATATGTGGCCCGCCTTGATACTACGGCTATATATGTGGCCCGCCTTGATACTACGGCTATATATGTGGCCCGCCTTGATACTACGGCTATATATGTGGTCCGCCTTTGATACTAATATATGTGGCCCGCCTTGATACTACACGGCTATATATGTGGCCCGCCTTGATACTACGGCTATATATGTGGCCTGCCTTGATACTACGTATATATGTGGCCTTGATACTACGGGGTTATATGTGGCCCGCTTTGATACTACGGGTTATATATGTGGCCCGCCTTGATACTACTTATATATGTGGCCCGCTTGATACCACGGCTATATATGTGGCCCGCTTTGATACTACGGGTTATATATGTGGCCCGCCTTTGATATACTCACGGCTATACAGTATATGTGGCCCGCCTTTGATACTACGGTTATACAGTATATGTGGCCCATCTTAATACCACGGCTATATAAGCCCACCTTATATATATATATATATATATATATATATATATATATATATATATATATATATATATATATATATATATATATATATATATATATATATATATATATATATATATATGATGCGGATCTGTGCAACATCTCTGAATGGGGAGGTAGAAAATTGGTTAAATTCAATAGTAATAAAACTCGGTATTTACCAGTTACACCTTTCCAAATTAGGTGATCTCCCACCAATCACATTTCAGGACACAATCATTCTGCCAAATTCTAAAATAGATATGCTAGGCCTCACCATTACCTCTAATATGTCATGAAAGTCACACATCCACAACATTGCTAAAGCTGCCTCCCGAATGTTGGGAATGCTGTACAGATGCTGTAGCTACTTCACTCCTGAGCAGTTGCTTCAAGCATATAATGGATTCATTCGTCCTAACTTGGAGTACTGCTCTCATATCTGGGGTGGCTCTTCTTCTGTCCAACTGTTAGATAGGGTGGAATCAAAGTCATTTTGTCTTATTAACTTTCCTCCTGTAGTTGGTAATCTTTCTTCCCTTTCTCTTCACTGCAATGTCGCTTCACTCTATTTTACAGGTACTTTATCGCGCAATGTTCGGTGGATCTGGCATCCTGTGTACCTCCGGCAAGGCCATGGGCTTGTAACACACGTTTTGCCCGCGGTGCGGTGCCCACCGTTTCTCTGTGGATGTCGGTCACACTAGAATAACCTGTTATAGCACATCCTTCTTTCCTCACACAACTAAACTATGAAATGCTCTGCCTTCTTGTGTGTTTCCATACTCATACAATCTGTCTCACTTCAAAAAGATGGTTTTCCGGCATCTTCGCGGAGTAAATTAATATAACCTTTTCCTTTTCTATTTTTAATTTCTTTTTACTCTTATTTCTTCACCTCCTAGACCCCGTTGTGGGTCGATGACCTATGCCCAGGTGGGCAATTTCCTATAATTAAAAAAAAAAGTGGTTCACCTTAGTACTACTAGTATATATGTAGCTCACCCAACATTACTGCTATATATGTGGCCCACCATAACATAACTGCTATATATGTGACCACCCTAACATTATTGCTTTACTGTATTTGTGACCCACCTTAATACTACAGCTATATATATGGCCCACCCTAACATTACGGCTATATATGTGGCCCACCCTAACATCAGGGGCACACCCAGAAATTGAGTAGGGGGTTCAAATTACTGAGAAGTCTGGCGAGCATAGCGAGCCCTTTCATTTTGGGGGGTCCGGAAAATTTTTTGAAATCTGACCAATATTTGACGCCATTTGCACTGAATCTCAGGAAATAATCTGAGTTTGAAGATGGTGTAATTTAGCATCCTAATCTTTGTATATAGAGGATTATATCAATTTTCAAGCAATTGTATTATAGCCAACTATAACAATAATAATGTTCCAGCACAAGACTGATATGACAACTTACCTTTTTGAGAAAAAACGATTGATAGTTGTTTGCTGACTGGTAGACATAGCGTTGTTGAAGGCTGTGGCATCCAAAGTAGATGTAACTACACCAAAAACTACATGTGAAGTGAGGACGAGAGAAGTGGGAACATGTTTCCTGACACAGCATGCTCGATTTCCAACTCCGTATTATCGTCCGATACAGTTATTGAAGCACATTTGCGAAATCATCAAATATGTGAAAGTGGATGGAAAAATAATTTATAAATACAGTCAACCCTCACTTTACGCGGTTAATTCAACCCACAGGGTACCGCGGAAAGTGAGAAACGCGTAAAGTGAACAACACAACATATGGGATTAATTGAAATAGAGACCGGGCCGACCCCCAAACTCCACTTTTTGACGACACACAACTATGTTGTAGTAAAAATATTATCTTAACTTTATGATGGTATGCACACACAATTAATAATTAAGAGAAATATCAATAATATTAGGTTTTTTAACACTTACATTAGTAGAAAAGATGGCTGGGCGGTTGGTTCCGAGGCAGAGGGCAGATAATTGGCCCTCACCTGTATCACTTGTATCAATTGTATCACTATCCACCACAGAGGCTTGCAGGGCCTCTTTGTCAAACCCCTCCAAGTCCATATAAGTCCATATCCTCACAATAATTATCACTATCACTGACTTGGGCCAGCTGTGGTGGGTGGCGGGTGAAGAACTCGGTAATGTTTTGATGACTGGGCGACCTTGTGCGCACCATGCACGCGCCGCTTACACAACATGGCGGATGGCGGGAGGTCTAGATCCAAAAATGGCGCGGCTCGCCAGCCGCTCTCCGCGTAAAGGGGTACACGCACCGCGGAATGTGAGCATTCCTGTTTCGGCAGGGTACCGCGTAAACGCGGAATGTGGGACCGCGTAAAGCGAGGGTTGACTGTATGTAAAATCTATAGAAAATGTACAATGTAGATGAGAAAATGAAAAAACCCCCATTAAATCACAATATTTCACACTGTCTGCAGGGGCGCACCCAGGGGGGTTTCCTGGTTGCCCGGAAACCCCCCCCCCCCTCCAGGTACTGCATGGTGTGGCCAACCCATACCTGACCTGGCGACACCTTAGTAACACGAAGGCTGGGTCAGCTTACCTGACCTCACCCCACGCCACGGTAAGTTCCACTGTGGCGTACTGAGTGTGGCCAGTAAATATATCACACTCAGGACTGAGGTAGGAGAGAAACTCACAATGCATTTTCTTATATATAAATATATTGAATGTGCAGTGCAGTTTGGTGCTGGGAAGTTGCTGCTTGGAAGAGGAGTTTGCTGAGAGGTTTTGCCGGTTCAGGAACGTGGAGTAGAATGAGAGCTGGTCAGCTGAAAGGGCTCATTACGCTCGCCAGACTTCTCAGTAATTTGGAAACCCCCCTTATTCAATTTCTGGGTGCGCCCCTGATCTGGCATGTCATTTATGAAACAAACAACGGTCTCAGCACACAACCCTGAGAGTACACATGACGTAAACATTATATTTTAAACAAAGAGTGTAAATATAAACAAGACTCAGAAATACAGACCTTTGTTTCCAGAGAGTTCATTAGTTTTTAAAGGGGTTTGGAACTTTAAATGCATGAGTAAAACACTGTTAAGATAATTATATACTTTGTTTTTGTTCACACGACTAATTCAACTAAGATAGACCTACAGGTATATGGTTTTGTAATTTGAATAAATCAATACGCTGTGGATTTTGTATACTACTATTGTATGTTCTATAATGTATTATATAATATTATATAAATGTTTTATATATACATTATTGTATTGTTCTTATATATTGTACGTCACAGTGCATTTCTTTTGCCCTTACCTCCCTGCCAGACCCATGCACCAGTGACACCTGCACACCGCCCTTCACCTGTACACAGGCTGACAAGGGAGTGACTGAGTGTCGGTGTCAGAGCGCGTGTCAGGACCTGCTGCAACCTGGGGTGTCGTCCAGCGTATATCACAGCTCCCTCGTCCTCACCACCACCACTTCTCCTGGTGATCCTAACATTGCCTGGCGCCTCACCGCAGCGGTAAGGCAGACTGCTACTTGTTTATGATCACTTAATTACCCCCTTGTTTATTACCAGACAATTAAACACACAAGCGCTACCTCAAGAGGTTAGGTTATGTTCGTGTTTGGGCGATAAATCTTGAGGTGAAATAAGTTGGGACCTGATCTTCACGTGATTTACTTTGCTTTATCATCTTCGGCACCCAAGCCGGTCAGGGTAGTCGATCATGTCTGTCAAGCTGTGTCGGCAAATACTGGGCATGTACTGGTTCCGGAATATACCTGAACCTGCACTGGTGTTGGTCAAGTCTAACCTTAAATGAGTTCACACTTGGTGCTGTCACAATAATCTCACAAAAAAAAAACTGTGTGACCTCTAGTGGGGTGGGAATTTCATTAGCTCCAGATATGAGCAACTCTACTGAATAATGTCCACTGGCGTGCTTATAAACTTCTATTAAATCACCCCTTGCCAGTCTATAGTATAATCTAGGCAACTGCAAGCGTTCTAATCTTTCTTGGTAACTGAGGTGCTGGAGTGTGGACATCCATTTCGATGTTCTCAATCAACTAAATTTCTACCATATCTCGGGGACCAGATGGATGACAGTACTCCACGAGGGAAATACTTCACCTTTGAAGCGCATTATGATCTAGATATGTGAACGATCTTATTTAAGTCCTAGTAAAATAATTTACTTGATTTACCTTCTCACAATAGTCAAAGAATTTCAATTCGGTGTAAAAATGCACACCCAGATCCTTTTCACTTTTGGACTAGGTGATGTTTCTTTGTCACGTTGGGACATGTGATACGCCTCCTTACTATTGGTAGGATCAAGGGGCATTCTTTTGCATTTCGTGATGCTTCCACGAATTCCGTACCCCTCAAGATTATTTTTCAGCCTTTTATGAGGAGCGCTATCGAATTCTTTGGCAGTCAAGGTACTGTACATATGGTCGTGTAATATTTTTATTATCATCCTCATCAACATTATTATTATCATTATCCTTACAGTTAGCCACTTACAAACATTAACCTACAATTGCAGCTGGAAAAGACCTTCGGTCGTAACAACGTCGAGATACTCTCCATAAAACCCAAGACTATGAGGAAAAGGTCAGTCTCCCAGCTTCAAGTGGAGTTCTTGGTAGTGACCCAGCAACCTAACATTACTCAGGAGGTAGCTGATGCCATCAAAATGCAATGCGAGCCTAGCGAGGACATCAACCCCGGAGTGTGTGTCTTGGCCGGGGGTCTAGTGATCCAAGAGGACTCAATCACTGTGGAGAATAATGGTAAGGTCATTCTGAGAGGGGGGGAGGTCAAGTTATGATTGATTATATAGATAATTTAGGCAAAGAGGTCATCAATATAAACATCTTTGACGATTTCAGGGTATAGGACAGGGTTAAGGTTTAGATACAAACGAGGTTTCTGGACTAAATGGTGAAAAGGCCAAGGTTAAAGTCCTGAGATCGAATTGTAGATAAAACACCAAGAAATCTGAATACAGTAAGTACTCAAAGCTGAGACGTAATTTTGAGGTCAAGGTTGGCCAGATGAGGTGGTGGTCAAAGCTGAGGGTTTAAAATAGAAGACTTCGACTGAATCTTAGTACACTGTATAGAAAGATAAAAAAATAAAGGGTTTCATGAGCACCGTAATGGTGAGTGACCAAGTCTATAGCTTTATATAGCTTGCACGTGCTTGTGCATACGAGTATGTATGTGTTTATTACTTATGCACGTAACTGTGTGCTTTGAAATGTATATATTGTTTATATGTATTCATCAGTTCATCTATTCTACACACACACATACACACGAAACAAACTATGCTATAGAGTGAACAATACATATGCTCTATGACAGATCCATGTGCAGAGCAGCCGTGCCCAGGAAACGATGTGTTCACCTGCCGCCCACGGCCCAACACCACCGGGCGCTTTGTTTGTTCCTGCAAAACTGGTTTTCTGAAGGTGAATGTTCTGGGAACTCCAGGCATGTGTAAGGGTAAGTGAATTGTGGGATAGGCATGTGGGTGGGATGGTGTGTATTTTGAATGGGTGGGTGGGTGTGGGGAAGGATTTGTGGGTAAGGGTTTGTGGGCTGGTTGGAGGATATGTGTAAGCGTTGGAAGATAAGTTGGAGGGTATTTGGAAAGGATGATGAGTATGTGAGAGGGACTGGTGGTTATTTGAGAAGAGTTGGTGTTTACGTGATAAAGATGGAAGGCATTTGGGAGGAATATACGGTACACAATCCCATTTTTTAATTGATTTATGTACAAGAAAAACGAATTTAATGTAAATAAAAAATATTTAGAAATTATGAGCACCAAATAATACCACCGAATGCTACGACTTCATTTCAGTTTTGTTATCACTTATTGTACAGCGGTAGGGAAAGAGGGATCAAAAACCTGTTTGGGATTTTTCAGGAGACTTTAGAGGTGTTTATATTTAGCAGTGATTTTTTCTTTTACCAGATGTGGACGAGTGTGATGGGGGCGAGAGGGTGTGTGAGGAGGAACACGAGTGTATCAACACGCCAGGCAGCTTCGTGTGCAGGTGAGGACTTGAGTGTAATTTTTCCCCTCTCAGATTCCCAAAGCGGTATCGTACCACCCCTAAAACAACCTGATATGATATTTTAAGCTGTAATTAAAACATTTAATATCGTGTCTTCATAATAATAAATGTGCTTTAATTTTATGAAACTAATCCACTAACGATTTTTTTTACTTATATAGTAATGTTAAAGAGTACAGATCGATTAATTTTGAGCTTACAAATCCAAGTATGCATAGGCAGTACAGTACAGTATGTATGTTTGTTTGTATTTTTGTGAATTTTGTATTAAAGTTGACATTATGACGAATTAATTATAAACAGTGTATATCATTGTTTCAGACAAAAACCATCAGCACTAGGACAAAATGGTGAGTAAAATTACCTCTCAGCTTTAACATGTCTGCTTTCTTTCCGGTGTACTAGTGAGGAGTGCCTTGATAAGTTCAAGACAGCTATCGAACGTATTAGGGTGAAAGGGGGGGGGGGGATCCTATCGTATGTGGTGTCCTGCCTAGAAGGAGAGTTGGCAATGAATGGTTGTCAAGGGCAGTTGGTGTCAACAGCCGTCTTGACAGATATTGTAAGTCAATATCAGTACCATTCATTGACAACTGAGTCAACTTTTATGGCAGAAAGGACCTTTATGCTAGGGATGGGGTGGCAACCCTGACTGGCTCTCTAGAAGTGCAGTTCAATATATTTCAAAGTCTTTAAACTGCTAGGGGAGCATGTGAGCATGGGGATCAAGGAGACTGCAGTGGGAGCGGGTAGGTAAACAAAATGAAAGGTTACAGAGAAATAGTGCTCGGAATGATGAGAAAACTAAATAAGGCAGGGAGTTAAAACCTAAATGCAACAAGAGAGGACACAGATCACGACTAACTTAAATGTCTACTACATAAACAGTAGAAGTATGAGAAACAAATAGATGAAATCAGGGCGTAGGCATGTACCGGAAAAATCGATATATACCTGTAATAGCATTCACCGAAACGTGGATAAACTTACTCGCATGAGTTACCTGTCGAATACCAAATTAAAAGTTACAAATTATTCCATACCGAAAGGCAGATTAGGAAAGGAGGCGGGGTACCAATCTATGTCAGGGATAATCTGAAGTGTGAAATCAATAATAAGGAAAACAACTGAACTAAATACAGAAACAATTTGGATAGAATTAACTGATGGTAAGGAAAAATTAGTCATAGGAGTAATAAATAGACCTCCTAATCTCGAGAGTTAATGAAAAACTTATTTGGGATGAAATGCGCAGGGCATCCAGCTATAGCAAAGTCTGTGTAGTAGGCGACTTTAACTTTAGTCAAATAGATTGGACCTATATACTTGATTTGGTTCTGTCAATCAGAATAAACCTCATTAGGAATGTCGAGGTAAGGAACGCACTAGCTAAAGTGAACACAAAGAAGTGAGATTCAAAGTTGAATTTAATGTCAGTTACAAGGAAAATTCCATTAAAGTCCCAGATTTCAGAAGGGCAAACTTTGATAGGTTGAAAAGTCAGCTGAGAGAAGGGGTATTATATTTGGGGGTAAATTACATGACCTCACACAATGTACCCACAGAGGGCGACCTCACTTTACCTGGCGACCTGCCAACGATAACCTCACAAACTAAGGCGGCTGAGGATGACCTGATCACGAGATCTGAGGTTGACGAGTTCCACAACAATTTAAATAATGAGTTACTTAATGCACCATGTTGTCACTGACAACACATTACCTTTCAGTCATAATAACAGGCAGCAACAACGATATAATTACTGAACACTAACCTGTGATACGATGGTAATAACAGCATATGACTTTATTTGAGTGTTGACTTATAATGCATGATTATAGATGAAGTTCAATAGACACGTTTCCACCTTTTAATGTAATGTAATGTAATGTAATATATATATATATATATATATATATATATATATATATATATATATATATATATATATATATATATATATATATATATATATATATATATATATATATATATATATAATCAACACCTCACCCCGCCAGGATTCGAACCCACGATCTTATGATTGTGACCAGGGCTAATGCATTATTGGGCTAATGAAATATATATGGATCCTCGTGTTTCGAAGCCGGATTTGGTAAAACGTTACTCTGACCACCTAAGTGATACGGGTAGTCCCCATTGGAGGTTCATGGCGCCATAAGCTCGTTGAACAGGCTTTTTATGAAATATAACAGAGTCTAGGACTGCTTTTAGTATCCTGGTGGTATAGTGGTAATGTTCCCCGGTCACAATCATAAGATCAGAGATAAGGCTCATGTCAAAATTCCATCTTGTAATGTACGGTAATGTAATGATGACATGCTGTATTCAATCTTGTAATAAAATCTTAACGTGATGTTCCTTTATGTGATGGTCAGCTAAGGTCATGAAGAAGCTGGCTATTGCTTTCGGTGTGCTGTTCTTCATTGCTTTATTCGTCATCGTCGGCTTTGTGTACTTGTGAGTATACCTTAACTTTTTTGAGTGAACCACAAATTTGGTGAATATATCTCAGATGTTTTGAGTAAAGCTTATGTGCTGTGAGTAAACCTTAGCTGATGAGTAAATCTAAATTTTGTGAGTACGTCTAAGCATTTGTGAGTATACTTTAGCTATCGAGATAATCATTGCTGTTGTGAGTAAATTTAGCTGCTGTGAGTCTTAGCTGTCTTAAGTAAACTTTAGTAAACAGTAAACCTGTTGTGGGTAAACCTTAGCTGTTGTGGATAAATCTTAGTTGTTGTACGTGAACCTTAGTTGTTATGAGTCAATTTTAGCTTTACAAGAGCTTTGCTGTTTTGAATAAACCTTAAACTATTATAATTAAAAAAAATGTTTGGTTAAGTGAACGTGCTTACTGTATGTGTGTGAAACTATGTGTCACAGTGTGGCTTCCAATAAGTTGAATCGTATATATTCACATATATGCTGCATATGAACCATAATAAGTTTGTGTGTTTCTGGAACTGTGCACTTACATGTATATTTTGCTGAGCATGCATATATTTTCCCCACAACACTCCAGGCTGAAGAAAAAGAACAAGAGCAACCGGGAGCTGGTGCCGATGTCTGCCACTTCAGGCTTCGACAACGACGCCTACCATAAGTAACTAGCCAAAAGGGAGACGAGTAAGACATGGAAAAACAGGAGAGGCGAGTGAAAATGGAAGAATAAAGAAAAGTAGATGGAGGAAGAAAAGAAAACTGACAAAATAGTGAGTTGGTGGATGAAGAGGAGAAAGGGGAGCTGACGAACTGGGTGTATGAAGGGGTGATAAAGACGGTGGGAAAGGTTTATATCCTAAAAGTGAATTGCGGAAGTACAGTACAGTGTTTCCTTGACGTGGGGGATTAGTGAATATACTGTGAATGCAAAATGCCAAATAAATGATTTTAGAAACGTTGAATCCTGTGATAATCTAAAAGAATATATATATATATATATATATATATATATATATATATATATATATATATATATATATATATATATATATATATATATATATATATATATATATATATATATATATATATATATATATGTGTGATGGATGAAATCCAATCAGTATTCTAACGGAGCAAGACATTTGAGGGAATTTTAATATAGCACGTCAGGTGTATGTATCAGGATATGTTTTGTATTGTGTATATATTTTATTTATGAGATATTTCAGAAATTCAGCCAATGGCTAACTATGTAACATGCCAGTGTGGCTACCAGTGAGTGTGGGATTCAGTCATTGGCTCAAGTCGGGATTAGTAAACTTGCTGAATGATTGCCAACCATTAAGAGCGCGGGAGTGATTGTGTGGGTTGGTGCCACCGATGGCTCCAACTTAAAACCTACATGACTATGCTAACCTAACTGTTGGGATTTGCATAAATCTAGGCAAGTTCTGACCTTTCAAACATCTTCAGTAGCCACGTCTAATCTATAGTTTGTTGATAATGATAAGGTAGATTATAACAAAAAGACCGATTTGTGTCTGATTTGTCACTTGCATTGGGTGTCAGAGACTGAAGATCCTTTAAGCGCATAACAGGGTTAGTTTATATAGTATTCTAACAACATTTGAAAAATTATGAGATATAACTCTTAACCTTATCGTTGGTGTATATCGGACACTATGATAGAGACTAAAGCCAGTGGTTGTTCCTGAGTACTATCATGTTATCATTGTGTCAATACGACATAGTTCAGAACTCTTTTAGTGTACTAACTCTTTTAGTCCTTTGATAGACGAATTGGACGTTAACATAGTCAGGGACAAGACTGACAAGAAAGGTACGAAAACCTTAATTCTTGGTGATTCCCAGGTATGGAATCTGGATAGAGTCTTTTGTGCTAAAATTAGAAATAGGATGAGGGTGTGTTTGCCAGAAGCTAGGGTAGGCAATATTGTTTACAGGATGGACAATATCTTGTCTGGTAATGGGAACAAACCCATTATCCTTAGTGCAGGAGGCAATGATATTGGCTGGTGTAGGAATGAGGAGCATCTTGATAAGTTCAAGACAGCTATTGACCGGATTAGGGTGAAGGGAGGGATCCCTATCATATGTGGTGTCCTGCCTAAAAGGAGAGTTGGCAATGAATGGTTGTCAAGGCAGTTGGAAACAAAGGCCGTCTTGAAAGATATTGCAAGTCAAATAAGTCCCATTCATTGACAACTGGGACAACTTTTACAGCAGAAGGGACCTTTATGCTAGGGATGGGGTATATTTGTCTAGGGATGGGGTGGCAACCCTGGCTGGCTTTCTCGAGAGGGCAGTTCAAAGATGTCAAGTCTTTAAACTGCTAGGGGAACATGTGAGCATGGGGATCAAGGAGACTGCAGTGGGAGCGGGTAAACAAAATGAAAGGTTACAGAGAAATAGTGCTCGGAATGATGAGAAAACTAAATAAGGCAGGGAGTTAAAGCCTAAATGCAACAAGAGAGGACACAGATCACGACTAACTTAAATGTCTACTACAGAAACAGTAGAAGTATGAGAAACAAATAGATGAAATCAGGGCATAGGTATGTACCGAAAAAATCGATATAATGGCATTCACCGAAACATGGATAAACTTAGACTTCCGTGATTTACCTGTCGAATACCAAATTAAAGGTAACAAATTATTCCACACCGATAGGCAGATTAGGAAAGGAGGCGGGATAACAATCTATGTCAGAGATAACCTGAATTGTGAAATCAATAAGGAAATAAAAACTGAACTGAATACAGAAACAGTCACAAGGAATATTCCATTAAAGTTCCCGATTTCAGAAGGGCAAACTTTGATGGGATGAAATGGCAGCTGCGAGAAGGGGTATTGGGTTTGGGGGTGAAGCAATCATTTCAAACTCTATTTGAAATCACCTGGAGAAGCACAAGATGATCAATAATTCCCAACATGGCTTCACGAGTAAGCATTCATGTCTGACTAATCTATTAACATTCTTTTCATCTGTTTTCGAAGCAGTGGATGAGGGGCACGATTATGCTGTGATATACTTCGACTTTAGCAAAGCCTTCGACAGAGTTCCCCACGAAAGACTAATACGAAAAGTGGGGGCTCATAGAACTGGAAGAAATATTCTAAAAGGATTAGTGCGTGGTTACAGGACAGGAAACAGCGAGTTAGCCATTAACGGGATTAAATCTGATTGGGGTAACATCACTAGTGGAGTACCCCAAGGCTCAGTACTTGGACCATTAATATTTATTATATACATAAACGACATAGATATAGGCATAAACAACAACGGAAGTAAATTTGCTGGTGACACTAAAATAGGGAGTGTAATTAAATTTGACGAGGACTCTTCAAAACTACAGGAAGATCCAGTGCCGGATTAACCATGAGGCACTGGCCTCAGGCCCCCCAGACTCTATGGGACCCCCAAATCCAAACGTTTTCGAAGTTGAAGAGTATAAAACATGAACTTTGTTCAACGATGTCCTAGCAACGTCTTAATTTTCTGTCTCTTATGAACATTAAATGTGTTATTTTGCAGAAGCTTAATATTGATGAAATCATTGATAAATTTGGGTATATTATGTTCTTGTTATTTATATATACCTTGAGGGTAGGGGGGCCCAAGTTGATCTGTGCCTCAGGTCCCTATTAAGCTTAATCCAGCCCTGGGAAGATCTAAAAAAAAACTATCAAATGGTTTGAAAAATGCCAGATGAAATTTAATGTGGACAAATGTAAAGTACTTAGTCTTGGAGATGTAAACAGAGAAACCAGATATCAGATGAACAACGTTGTTATAGAGAATGCGACTGTGAGAAAGATTTGGGAGTTGTGATAAGTAGGAATCTTAAAACAAGTCAACAATATGTATTTGCTCAAAACAAGGCTAACAAAGTAATTGGGTTCATACAAAGGAGTGTCAGTTACAAGACTAGCGAGATTATCCTAAAACTAGATCTTGGATTACGCAGCTCAGTTCTGGTCACCGTACTAGAGAATGGATATAGAATCCCTAGGAAGAATTCAGAGAGTGGAGAGATTAATCCCGGGTATTAGGAACCTGAGTACAGAGACAGGTTAAAGCATCTTAATTTGCACTCCCTCGAGAGACGTAGAGCGAGGGGCGATTATGATTGAGGTATATAAATGGAAGTCAGGGCTAAACAAAGGTGATATAACAAAGGTACTCAAACTATCCAACCAAGAGTGAATTCGTAGCAATGGCGTAAAATTAGACAATTTTAGATTTAGGTGCGAGATAGGTAAACATTGGTTTGGAAATGGAGTAGTGAATGAGTGAAACAAGTTATCAAACATCATCATTAACTTGAATGCGCTGGATAGTTTCAAACATAGGTTGGATGGATATATGAGCGATAGGGGTTGGGTGTGAACGGGATTGCCCAGTTTGGGCCTAAAGACCCGCTGCAGTTATCTCCATTCTTATGTCCTTATGTTCCTAATCCAAATATTCTCAGTAGGAATTCATTTGAAATAGGGAGTTTTTTTTATCAGAATAAGCGTCGCTGCTCACCAGACTGTATAAACAAATCCTAGAATGTTAAAAAAGAAATACAGTACTAAGAAAACTGCTTTTTCAACAATTAAAAAATCCAGACGTACCTTAATTTACGAATTATCTAAGTTACTTACTCGTTTTTTGAATGATTATTCATCGCTATTAAACAAATTTAAGCAACAAGTCTTTTATAAGACACTTTCACTAAGTTCCATATAATTAAGCAGTTTATTAAACTTTTCTATCATGAAGCAAGAAATGTAAACAAGAAAATCACTGCAAAAAAGAAAATCATAATTTAATATATACCTCGCAAACTGAGTGTGAAAACAATTTGACAATTGGGTAATGTTTTTGCTCAGTCCTTCTGATGATTGACTTATTACCTCCAAATTCATGTTGCGTACAGGAACTCCTTAGACGGATATAACTTTTTGGCGAAAATGATTTATCAAAGTAATATTTTTAATAATATTCAAAACTAAAGAGTAAGTGAACTTCCCGTGAAGACATTAGAATCACTGACCTTCAAACGACTTTCATCTAAGGAAAGTAAAGGCTGTCAACTCTCAAAACAAAGTTAAATAGAGATACTATACAGAAAATATACAAAAAATTAATGGATAAGTGGTCATACTATAATAATAATAACAATAAATAAGGCATTAGCAGAAAACCCTTATACCTGTATGTCTAAATAATTGCACTAGGAACCTCTTTTAAAAATTTTAAGTTTTTGTTATTGTAATTTTTAGCTTTATTGTAAACAGTCACATTCTTTATAATGAATTAGTTGCTGATGTCATTATTGCAGCTAAGTTAATTATTTTCATCGTGTTATATTACCCATTAAATTGCTTGGTCCATCATAATCATATATTCATCACGTGTATGTTACTGTATTCCCAACCAATATTTTCTCATGAAGCATCGTTCTCACCGTATCGTTCATATTGAGATAATATTCACATTATTTATTTTATTACAATCAATATTATTCACATCATATTCTCGCGTTCCACCTATCCGTTATTATAATTTTTTCCATCTTGTTTTGGTCCCAACAGTATACAAATCATCTCAGGACAATTAAAAAAATATAAATATAATAATAAATGGAGGGTCGGCAGTACATTTGGATAGTCAAAGTAGCTTGAGATTATGAACAAAATAATAATGATGATAATAATAATAATAATAATAATAATAATAGTAATAATAATAATAATAATAATAATAATTATGGTATTCGTAATAACGATAACAATTATGAGTTATATAGTTAACATATATTATCACAGCCCCTCTGTTAAATTAACAGAACGTTATAGCAACCAGGAACGAAAGTTTAGGAAAATATAAACATCAGACATCCACAAGAACTCTGCGTGTGATTATTCGTCTCTCATCCTCAGTT